ACAACACAACCACAACAACAACAACAACACAACAACAAACAACAACAACGACGACACGACGACGACGACGACGACGACGACGACGACGACGACGACGACGACGACGACGACGACGACGACGACGACGACGACCGACGACGACGACGACGACGACGACGACGACGACGACGACGACGACGACGACGACCGACGACGACGACGACGACGACGACGACGACGACGACGACGACGACGACGACGACGACGACTACGACGACCGACGACGACGACGACGACGACGACGACGACGACGACGACGACGACGACGACGACGACGACGACGACGACGACGACGACGACGACGACGACGACGACGACGACGACGACGACGACGACGACGACGACGACGACGACGACGACGACGACGACGACGACGACGACGACGACGACGACGACGACGACGACGACGACGACGACGACGACGACGACGACGACGACGACGACGACGACGACGACGACGACGACGACCGACGACGACGACGACGACGACGACGACGACGACGACGACGACGACGACGACGACGACGACGACGACGACGACGACGACGACGACGACGACGACGACGACGACGACGACACGACGACGACGACGACGACGACGACGACGACGACGACGACGACGACGACGACGACGACGACGACGACGACGACGACGACGACGACGACGACGACGACGACGACGACGACGGACGACGACGACGACGACGACGACGACGACGACGACGACGACGACGACGACGACGACGACAGCTGTGCGAAGATGAGTGCTTCGACATTTTCGTACCACGTCTTGAAGTCGTGAAAATGTCGCACGCAAAGAGTTATGACACTGCGCTATTACAAAGCATAGAAAATATCTTATAAGTCAGTTTATTTGAGCACTATAATGTCTGTTTCATAGGTTCAGACTTGAGAGCTTTCGGCATTACACGTACCTTGCTCTTTTGCTTTCTGGAGTTGCCGGAAGTGTCAGAGCACAAGATAGATACTGACGCACGGCAACTTGTACGGACACGATGCACAGGAAGTGATACGTAAGAGTTCTCACCACATGAAATGGGTTTCCCCATAACTGAAAATTATGCCATGCGCAAGATGCGCGCAGCCAGGGCGTACGTTTACGGTAGAAGCGAAAAGAGCGGGGGCTCAATGAGTTTGACCTCTACAAACATGGGCTAGCGTCATTTTAAGGAATACTAAGGTCAAAAACAATTTATGTCAGAGTGAAAGCTAAAAGTATGACAACGTGTAAAACGGTTTCGTTTTCTTTGCTTGCCCAGTCGCAGAAGCCGGCAACGCTGGTGTTGAAAATAACAGTGTCATACGCCAACTAATTCGCGCAGGGTACCTGCCTGGCGCTAACAGCGACTTCATAGTTGAACTTCAGCCTGAAATTTTGCACATAACTAAAAGGATGCTTCGAGGAACTAGCGCCTGACGTATCACTAGAAAATGACAGTCCGCGATTTGTTCATCCTGTCTAATTTTTAATCATGCGTATCATGTTGCGTTTTACATTAAATCATGCATTAGAAAACACACCAACGAAACCTTTATTTCTAAGTTATGTCATAATACAAGAGCAAAATGACGTAACTTTGAGTTTGAATAACGCTGTCAGTGTTGCAAGATGCCTGACAGATAAAGAAACAGGGATGTTACCGGCCTTTTTTCCGAATTTCATTTAGTGGCAGCTCTAGCGTCCTGCAGCGCCACAGAAGACACAAAAAAGTAGCGGAAAAATATGTCATAACGTCACGACGGTGTTCTTCCTGAATACCGAAATTGCAACTAAAGCTAAAAGAAAATAAATATTAACGTGCATTATTTGAGTCTTTTCACAGGTGCCTGTATGTATTTAAAAAATATATAATATTAGACCTGTGTTATAACAGCAACAACCAAAAAAAAAGGAAGTTGTTAACGTCATGTCCCCAGATGAGAATGAGCAATGGAAAAAACTTATTCCGATGCCTGAGGACGTACATGACACCGGAAAAATACTAGTACGCGTCAATTACTCCTGGTTTCGCAAGGACCACCAGTGACATCGATTTGACTCGTTGACTAATGCTCACATAGGAGGGTTGTTTCCTCTCACATTTCCCACGGTGCTCGAACAATATGTCATCTCAGAGATTACGACAGCGCCCCACATTTCGAAAGTGACCAAGAAGATAAACAGCCACGGTATGGTGTCCAGATAACGTCGGTAACGCCAGAATTGGCTTTTCAATTCGAAACGATGAACGACGAAACGATATGGGAATTCATGCAGCGCCGAAATACGGTCGGGAAATTTTTGCCGGCCGCACTGACTCTCAATAATGAGAACGACAAGGAGGACAAAGTTGAGAACGAGAGAGAAAAAAAAGAAAGAAAGTTGACGAGAAAATTTTATTCGCACCCACCCGCCCACAACGAAAAGAGAGTTTTTTTTTCTGGCACGCACGTGTGCGCCTACTAGCGACAAGCTCGTTCTTGCAGGTGGTTACGAAACAAGGCAATATCGAGATGCGAAATGCCTATACAAGATAGAAAGTCCCCTGAGGGGGGGGGGGGGTGAAGTGAGATTGCATTTGGAATGGAGCCGCCGTCGTCGCGTGGCAGTGTGGGACGCGAGAATCGAATTGCGCACTCCGCGTTACACAAGCCCTTACTTCGACCGTCCCACACACTTCGCCACTTTCTTTCTTTCTTTCTTTCTTTCTTTCTTTCTTTCTTTCTTTCTTTCTTTCTTTCTTTCTTTCTTTCTTTCTTTCTTTCTTTCTTTCGTTCTTTCTTTCTTTCTTTCTTTCGTTCTTTCGTTCTTTCTTACTTTCTTTCTTTCTTTCTTTCTTTCTTTGTTCATTATCGTTCTCAAAAACACTACATGCGGTTGCACTTACACCACATGAGGTGACTTCTCTGGTATATCGCGTTAACACGTCACGTCTCTCTGCATATGCAAAATTTGCGAAGGGAAACTAATAACCAGCTTGCGTAACGCAACCCGCGTCCGAATATGTCGTGAAGGGAGAAATTCAAATACTGAGACGCTTCCGACGTTCCGCAGTGCGTTTTGCAGCGTTGCGATGATTAAGTAGGGAGTTTTAGAGTAGCGTATACGCAAAGTATTGAGTCAGTGCCTCGTGCCAGTGCGTATGGGTCGTACGCTAACCTCTTGTGGGCTTCCGTTAAGTAAACGAATACTAACTTAACGTACGCTTTTATGAAGCTCCCTACCGAGTGCCCGTCCAGAAAGACCAGGCTAAAGCAAAAAAGAATACAGACTACGTAACCCTCAGTGACTCGGAGACTTCGGGAGAGTTTTCGGGATCAGTCCATTTTATAGTTCGTCACATAAACCAAATGCGACCAGACTGACCAGTACTGAGAAAGAATGCACTAGTAGCAGTGAATACCTCTCTTTACTGCTAAACGTTGCGTAGGTCCAACTTTGGAGAAAGCAGACAAGCGTTCACCGACCTCTATTGCCTCTTGAGCGTCACGAGCCCTAAATAAACAAGAAGAAAGCCTTTGCGGGCTTCAAAGTCATGGTTTCGTCATGGACGTCGTAGAGAAAGACTCTGAATTAGCGTTGGTCATATGTGGTTTCGCAACTTGCTCACTAACTTGAGCAAACGGTCCTTCTTGTGTTCAGTCCCCACTTGAAAAAGCAGCCAATGATAACGGGAATCGAACCCGGATCCTTGAGATTAGCAGGACGACCCCTTCATGGCCAATCTACCGCAGAAGTTACGTTCCACTTTTAACGCACGTTCCTACGGGCGAGTATATGACGTGAGGCGACAAGACCACGTATTGACAACCAAACGATTGAGCAAACGAATCAAGCAGTAGAAAAAAAATACAGGTATGAAGAAATGCTAGCGACCGGCTCAGCGTATTCAAAAAACACGGGGGGCGTGGCGCGACGAAGGTTGGTGGCGTGACGAGCAAGCGTTGGACAAGGGAAGGCGGCAGGGCGTGGACCCCTGGACTGTGGCGAACAATGGATCTGCTGTGGGCAGGGACCAAAGCTTGGACACCGAGGTTCGTGAGGGGAAAAAAAAGAAACGACAGGGAGCCTCGCCCCCGTCGCCTCCTCATACTGTGCGTCTCAACCTCTCTGACGCATCGTCTGAGGAAGCACCGTGGATGGAGGAGGAAGAGAAGAAAGAGGCAGTGCGCGTCAGTGCTCAACTAAGCACGCCACGGGTGATTCGTTCACTTTAACTGAACTAGAGAAAAAAAAGAGAAAAAAAAGGGGGGCGTAGGCAGAGAACAGCCTCGCGTAATGCCGGACAACTCGATGTTACATACACAGGCCTTTTGTTCCCACCAGCAAGTGCGAGAAAGAGGTGGTTGGGGAGAAGAGACGTAGGGAATAGAGAACGATGGGCTCTAGTCTCGCCGAATGTTGTTCCGGAAACAGCTTTTTTTGTTTTTTGTTGTTGCCGGAAAGAAAAAATTTCAATGTACCCGTCCTGCCTTGTACTTCCCTGTCTTGTGCTCGTGAAATATAACGCTACAATACATTAAGTGAGAATGTGGCAGTTGTCTTCGGGTATTGTGAGTTGGACAGATTTACTCAGCACGTCAATTTTGAATGTATCACTGCTCGCTAAACGTTAAAGTATGTATCTTTTTTTTCCTCACACAGAAGGGGAGAGCTATGGTCAAGTCATCTCGGATTCTTTGTCGTCCATCATTTTCTGCAATGTATAAGACTCATGAACTTGGGGAACGCTATTTGTTGAAGAATTGCGAATGACCAGTTATGGAAGTATACAGAGCAAAAAAGTTCAAGGAAAGATGGAGGCGTAAGTGCATGAGAACTTTTTTGGAAAGGGAGTGTCGCTGGAACCGACGTTGGGCAGTTGCTGGTTTAACGAAGTCAAGTCCACCTGTCAAAACTCTGACTTACGTGGCATTCCCTGCTTGATGATATGTTATCAGTGTTGGATAAATGCACGTACCTCCAGTCCAGCTCAAGGGGTTGGTTGGTGCAGCTGGTGAGGGCGACGTCAGCCGGGTCGTTGCCTCCCGATCTCGCCCGGTAGGCGGGGTACAGGGGGTCACCCGGGTAGCCGGTCTCGGTGAACACGCCGTACCGATAGTGCGCCCACTCACGCACGAACACCCGGTCTGTGAGCAACGAGTGTGAATTGATTAATATTGAGGCTATCGTGCCACATGAAGCCTGTGCTCCCTCCTTGAGAACAAAAAACGCTCCCCAAACACGTACAGAAGTCAGCACAGTTGCCTAGAGCGCTGCAATGACAACCTCTAGCGCCGTGTTTACTGATGAATGTGGTTTGAGATAGCCCACGATTGAGTATTCGACCTTCGGAAACATGCATGCTATAACTTGAGCTCTGTCAAACTAGGCGTAATCCACAAACGTTGAGCGCAGTCCGGAGTGCGCCGTTACAGGGTTCCATACAAGTGTGTTGACCTCTGCACTTGCGATAGGCTGACTCATAACTGCTTAAGATCAAACAAAGTTCGAGCCTGCTCAGTGCAATTCAGCAAGAACGCCCCAATATTCACCAAGCAGTACCCACAGACGCCACCTACAAAAGTGTCTACAGAAGAAAGTGCTGCGTCTTCGTTCCTGCAGTACCTACAGAGGATACTGCCGGAAGTCTTTCCGTCTGTTACTGATCTATTTCCGTCTATTACTTCTTCATCTGCCTTCTCCTAGTTGCTGAATGGAAACCAGCATCAGCTGCTAAACCGCCTGTTCCTCGAAACAGCTAGGTGACGTCACCGAGACACTCACCTGGCGGACCGTACTTGCTGGCTGCGGGGCCTCCTTCTTCAAGAAGCGCCAGGAATCCCGCGCTGATGGCGAGCCTTTTGGCAGCCTGTCCGCAGCCGGCATGCTGAACAGTGAACGGGTTGTCGCCGAAGGGCCCTCCCTGGGGCTCCAGCCGCAGGTCGGCGTCCCGGTGCAGCTGCCAGCCGGCACGGGTAACCGTGGGCGTCGGTGCTCGTGCCCACGTCTCCTTGGGACCCCAGGACTTGGGTACCAGGACGATGACTTCTTCCAAGTAAGCCCGATTCCGCGTTGACTGGAACAGGCTGATGGATGCATTCCGCAGAAGCGCCTGCACACGATGACAATGAAAAAAAGTGTTTCAATGGAGGCTGACCATGGGTCAGACGCTCTACAGAAAAATATTTCTCTGCAACTTTTATTAGGATGTTATACAACCAGCTTTAAACATTTAGAGATCACTAGGTCTGAGACAACTTTGAATTTACCAGTAATTTGGGACAGCAATCGGTCGAACTGTGCAACGAAGGCTCTTTGCTGTGAGTTCTAGCGAATTGATAGAAAGGTGAGATGAACAGCACAACTAACAACTGTGGTAGTAGCGCTAACTTTACCGACCATGCATTACCGACTGTCTTAAACTTATATTTTAGGAGCTTGCTTTTAAAGCTCGCGCCCTGTCCGGCAGCCGCCGGCGTGTACACCAGTGTTGCCACTGTACATTTTTCGGGTCGCCGCTCAAGGTCGCCGCTCCGGTTGCCGCTCCGGTCGCCGCTCCGGTCGCCGCTCCGGTCGCCGCTCCGGCCGCCGCTCCGGCCGCCGCTCCGGTGATTCTAAATATTCTCACTAGATGACGTGCCGCCATTAAGGTGTCGGTTTTCGATAATCCGCGCATTCGTCTCCTCGTGACCATGCCCACTGCGTTCTCGTCGCTTCGCAGGCATAGGAGCCCGTGTCAAGTTCCCTACGATGAGTGTTACACACGGGTGCCGATAACCTCCCAAGTCGCCTTACCTGTCTGCTCTCAACCCGTTGAAGAACGCCTGGCAGCTCCACGTCTACCATTTATGAACGTTAGGGATTTGACTCAAGGTAGCAGCCAGTTTGCCATAAAGGGGCAGGCGTCTAAGAGAGCTGCAGCGCACGGCGCTTCAGCGGCCATGAGGATGATGATAGTACGATGATTTGTCTAATCTTCGTACTTTCAGCTCTATTTGGCTTAGTGTGGCTTGGAGCTTCTTTGTCACGAGAAGAAAATCAGCAAATGCTCAGCAGTTGCACTTCATGACCCTAACATTTTAGGCTCACCGATTGAAATCGGGTCTCAAAGTCCACAACGGTCCAACTTTTTTTTGATTGGAACAAAACCAAAACACATCAATAAACGAAGTCACAGTTGTTTTAAAAGCCCTCGAGTACGAAGACGAGGTAAATTTGCGCACTACCCATCATTCCCAGGGTCGCTGAACAATCACTGCTCCAGAGTTCCCTCTAGTTAGCTTTAGGAAACTCTATGGCCTATCGTACGTGACAACGCGTGAAATTGTGCAGCGTGGCCACCAACTCTGGTTCTCAGAAGGGCTTTTATCGGATTTGTATCAAGTTTTATGTAATTTTCATTGGATTTTATCGTTCACCCGTTTCGTGGTGGAATTCTCTGTGGATGGAATTCCACAGAGACTTCCTTTGTAGCTTAAGGTGTGTTGCATCACTGTCATTTTTTTATTGCTTGCTTTTTTATTGATCTTAAAATGAGACTGATTTTTGGCGTATTAACAATATAACGACAAGCAAATATTAACTTAAACCCTACGTAGCGTCCAGCAAAGCTCTGGATTGCTAGTCGTTTTGGCTCGACATTCCAATTCTTGCCGCACGTGAACTGCCATACGGTGTGTACTCCATTTCCGTAAAAAGGCAGTTCATGCCATTTTCACATTTCGAGAGCTACGTAACAGAAGAATGATGGCGCACAACGCGGAATGTGTGCCTCACGTTTCGCAGGGAGATTGAACGAAACGCCTTTTTTGAATTCACCTCCGAGGCAGCAAACGTTCGACCGGGTTTGGCTTTTTTTCACTCCTCCCCGTCCGCCTTTCTGCTTTCACTGAATCGCCGGCTTCAAAAGCGATTCGAAGCGCCTTGAAATCGCGAACGGTGGGTCGCTCAGCTTCGACGTTCGTAGAAGAAAGGGTGTTGCCGGAGACTCGAGTGCTATGCGTGTAGGTTGTTGCAATGGGTTGTAGCCGCTGCGCAAGTAAATGTGAACTACATTTAGATGCGATGTAAGAAGTCCGCGGATGTCCCGCCCAGAACACCAAAGCTCCAAGGACGCCGATCGACTCCGCAACCTAAAGAAATAGTCCCACTCATGAACTCGGCAATGTTTGCTGCAAGTGCAGTCTTCAGAAGTTCGGAACATGACGTCAGTCTGAAGTTTGCGCCCATTGGCGCAGGCTTGTGTGCTTCCGCCTCTGAAGAGGAAATGCCGCGGAGTTCTAAAGTTCTTGTCTACTACAGTGGAGATTGATGTGGTGGCGCCTCGGAATGTCCTTTCACTGAAAGGGTAGGAAGAAGGCAACCTTGCTGGGATGTTTTCGATCTGCTTGGGGAGTGTGTATGTATGTATGTATGTATGTATGTATGTATGTATGTATGTATGTATGTATGTATGTATGTATGTATGTATGTATGTATGTATGTATGTATGTATGTATGTATGTATGTATGTATGTATGTATGTATGTATGTATGTATGTATGTATGTATGAATGAATAGTGAAGCTTGTTAACAGTCAAAATAAGTACAAAAGCCTCCCTCGTTCTCTCACCTTTTATTTTTTCGTCACCCCAGTAAAGGAAACCAAAAATAAATAAATATAAATGTGCAAGAATCAGGTGCAAGACAGACAGACAAAGACAGACAGACAGACAGACAGACAGACAGACAGACAGACAGACAGACAGACAGACAGACAGACAGACAGACAGACAGATAGACAGACAGATAGACAGACAGACAGACAGACAGACAGACAGACAGACAGACAGACAGACAGACAGATAGATAGATAGATAGACAGATAGATAGATAGATAGATAGATAGATAGATAGATAGATAGATAGATAGATAGATAGATAGATAGATAGATAGATAGATAGATAGATAGATAGATAAATAGATGCTTCGAAAACCCTCTCTCACGACAGAGAGGTGAACCAATAGGCGATGGCCAGCGGGAAAGCTTGCGTAAGCTGCGCGTAAACTTTATGGCCACACGGGCTTCGAAAGTACACGAAACCTAATTACGAGTATGCGGATTGAAAAAAATGAGGAGGAAGTGAGAGAAAAATATGAAAGGTTGAACAAAAAAAATGTAAAGTGAAATAACGGGTGAATGGTGGGAGAAGTTCACGAGGGATGCGAATCGGGTCTTGTCGGTATGTGCCTTCATTTTTCTTCCTATCCTTTACGTGCGCTAGAAGGAAGCCTATACTGAAATATGGGAGATGGGAACTAGACGAGTACGCGTACTCGGGAACGAATAAGGAAAACGGACATTCAATGCGAACGCTCGGTTTGGTATCGCGTATGTACTACGTTTAACGTCTGCGTGGCCGGAGGTTCCCTTTTCCGACAGCCCAACATGCGCGACTCAACTGCTGCCATGTATGGTAGCAGCATTGGCCATCTCCGCATTTTCTTTTCTTGCTGTTGCTAAGCGATCGCTGGCAGAATCCGGTACTTTCCCTCCAGCGCTAGTCTAAGTAGATGAGATAGCTGGTTGCGGTCTCCCTGCGGTCTTTATCACACACACCCGCCTTCCCTCCGATAAAGGATGATAGAGAGGGATGCGAGCACTTTTATTTAGATATCTAATGTATGTACCAGGGCACTCGCATCGAGGTTGCGTTAGTATACACAGACGTCTGGTAGCCATTTACAAACTACCTCTATACATAACGTCTATTAAAGACAAAAAAAAATAGACGACTAGTCTGCTTGCTACCGGGCGCTCTGGCGGTGCCATCAGATATATAGCGTCTGCTCGGGACTCCACGCGAAATGGCGCAGGGTCGATCTACTCTAAGTGCCACGAGCAGAGCAACAGAGAACTTAACTTCCTTTGGGAGCTCGGGTCTGCGGTGTTGCGAACGCGTAGATTCTCGCTGGTTGGGTTGTTGACCAGGCGGCTGGTGCTGAAACCGCATAGATCTCCATCCCGTCTTGTGTAAACGTTCATCTGTCTTGTGTGTTGATCGTGGTAAACATAAGACACCAGTCTTATGTTTACGTGTTGTGCGCCTACAAGCCGCAGTAGCGTAGACAGAGATTGTATTCACAGGAGGAGGGGGGGGGGGTAGGTGTAATGACACTTCATGTATGTTCGTGCATGCGTTTGTATGTGGGCGTGAATGTATGCATGCGCAAAATTGAAAAACAAAATGGAAAATGGGAGTGTTGAACCTCCTCCACATCCGCCCCGGCAACGTCAGTGACTGCGTGTCTGTGTGCTTGTGTATGTGTGCGTGCCTGTGTGTGTGTATTTGTGTATGTGTGCGTGTATGTGTGTGTGTATGTGTGTGTGTTTGTGTGTCTCTGTGTGTTTGTGTGTGTGCTTGCGCGCGCCCAGCACCCATATACAAAACCCAGTGCTAGCAGTTTTACAGATTATAGTCTGGCAGTTTTCGCTGAGTCTTCACCGATATACTCAGACTGGTGTACCGAGGCCCTGACAGAACCATCTGCAAAAGATTTATGTTATTTGAGCTAGTACATGTTCATGTATGTTCGCAAACAAACGTGGGTCGAGTTTTAGAGTTCCTCGTTTCTTTCTTTTGCCTCCTGCTTTCAAGTTTGTTTTGTTTACGGTGCTACTTTTTCGAAGTCATGTTTACAGGTACAAGAAAATTGTCTGTATTTTTTTTTTACTTTGAGTAACGGAACACCAACAGGTCAGAATTTTCATATCTTTAGTTGCCATAATAATCACAAGTTGGGTGGATGACTTATATGTATTTGAATGGGTAACCACATTGCAATCGCGATGGACGCAGAAACTACGAAATGGCCAGTGTGTCTCACTCCTTTTTTTTTTCTTTAGCAAGTCCTTTTTTTGCGTTTCCGTCCATGTTTCGAGATCTTAAGTACAGCGGGTCTTCAATGTAGCAATTACTTCAACGCCAGCCTATGTCTCATTTTTTTTTTCTTTACTGAGCAAGCAACACCGCTTTTACAGACACCAGGAAGGCAGAAGCTGAACAGGATTTCAGAGTTGAAGGAGTGAGTGAGTAACAACTTATGGAACCGCTGATGTCCGCACATTCCT